AGATTTTCCCTAAATTTGAAGCTTAGATAAATTTTATAGTATATAAACCACACAATCAATTTAAATAAAAAAGGTGAATGGTTTTTTTTTTTTTTTTTAAATTTAATCCATGTTTAATCGACATTAGCTAGATATCGGGTTTAAAAATTAAAATATAAGTAATTAACCTTTCTAAAAGGATATTTCAATAAAGAGTAAAACAACTGTAAAGTAGTCATTAATCAAATATCTAATAATCAAAAGGTTAAGTAATTTTAATAAGATTGCGCATGACAAGACAAAATCGTTTTTGCTGCTGTTTTGCATATATACGGTACTAAATCACGAAGAACATGCCATCGTATTTATTAAAGATCTTGTAAATCCAAGTCCATAAATCTATATGACATAAGTCTCACTACATTTTTAGCGGAGGCATAACTATAGATTTAAAAACATGGAGCGCATCTGTGATTTGGTTTTCGTGGTGCTGATCGGATTTAGTCTATTGGGGAAAACCGTAAATGCCAATGAGTTTGAGTTCGATGATGCAGAGTTTCATGCTAATACGACACAAATGCTGTCATTTCTAGAAAACTTTTCTAATTATTCACAATCTGCTGCGACTTATAATCCTTTATATGTGGGTCTTACTCTCATTCCGGGAGCTGCAGCCAAAGGCGCTGGTACGTTCACACTCTATTTTGTATTTTTAAAAGGGTTTATGCGAGATTTAAAAGCGCTCAAAGCTTTCTAAATCTGTATCAAATCTGCTGTGTTTTTTGGTAGTTAGTTTGTCGATTTTGGTGTTTCACTTCTGATTTACATTTATGTTGGGTTTTATGAGATTCATTGTTTGCGATTTACGTTTACTTGAATACAAGTATTAAAAACATCGCTTTTTCAGATTCAAAATTGACACTTGTTGTTTCTTTTTCTTTTTCTGATTTGCTTTTATTGTTCCCAATCTCAGTGTCGATTTTGATGATAAGAAATTAGAAAAGTAAAATACTGACTTTTGATTTGTAGTAACAATTTGTTGGTGTGTTTCACCTTTTACAGTATGCTTGGATGGAAGTTTACCTGGGTATCATTTACATCGTGGATTTGGTGCGGGTGCCAACAGTTGGCTTGTTCATTTGGAGGTCTGTGACATAACTGCACAAGTTGTATCAGCTTTTGACGTGCATTTGTTTTTGTTTTGACCGAGACAAATATATCATACCAAAAAAGTGGAATAAAATCTCACTCTTTTATCTCTCGTGTAAAAAGCACTAATGTTGATAAAGATGAGGGGGGCATTCCATCTTTTGCATATAGCCACAAACGAGTCTTGTCCTAAGCTTGTTCATCTTTTTGTATTAAGAATACTAAAACTCACTCTTTATGTCCTCCCAATACCTAAAATTAGCAAAGCCTGAT